AGCATTAAATTAGAGTTCCTCATTCCTGTATAAAACCTGTGAACGCTTAATTTAATCTGACATATTAAAAAAATCCCCATCATCATCCAGCAGATGTTCAGTTTCTGCCCAAATATTTTCTTTCTGTTGTGGATTTTTGTAACAGGGATAACTAGGATCATACATAGTTTGTATGAACTCTGTTTATTCTCTGCTTCCAAACTCATCATCTCTTCATCCATTCCTGCAATAAGAATTTTCTTTTAAAGCTGTGAGATGCGCTCTAGAATCTCACAACTTCTTCCTGGTCTGTTGAAGCACCAATAGTCTGCATCAACTTATTTAATTAATTGCTCTTAGTTTTTGGGAATATATACGAACTATGCTCTAATTTCTAGATACCGATCTGTTTTTACTATAATTTAATTTGACAAACCGGGTCTTCTCTACATTCTTTTTCTGTTTGGTGTCATTGGAATAGCAGGTCTTGATCTGGACGGACCGGAAGGGAGCAAAAAATAGCTCAGCTCCGTATTTTGACGGTGAAGGACGGAGAAGACGTACGTGGGCGGTGACGAGCGGAGGATGTGGAACAGCTCTCATTGATTTACATGACAGACAAGTACTCTGCACGACGTACGTGAGCGGGGCGGAGCGCTGACGGAGTATGTGGAATCTGGGGGTAAAGGAGGACAAATACACGTCTGGCTGGGTGCAGCGCCGGACGCCGGACAGTGCAATGAAAATCCGGACTGTCCGCCCTAAAGCCGGACATCTGGCCACCCTAATGAACCTACTCATGTTTTCTACTTTTTCAGACTGGAAGCAAAATTTATTTTTATGTTGCTTCTTTTCAGATTTTTGGAGATTTTGATGTAACATACAATACCTGCCTTTTTGTTGATTTGTTGATACAGCAGCTCTATCTACAGCATATTTACATGCATAAAATGTCCCTTTCATGTTGCCTTACCTGCTGTATGTCAAGTTACTGAGGAACAAATGGGGTAAATGTGTGTTCAGAGTAAACAATACATAGATGTCCGGTACTTTGTTTGGGTGCCTTGACCCAATTATTTCTACTGTGTAGTAATGCTCACTTTAGTACAGCTCAGTCCATAGATCTCTGATGGGAAAGTTTTTCTTTCTATAGTTTCTTCTTGTGTAAATGCTGCAAAGCTGCCTCTCTGACAGTCAGTCTCACACATCTGAAACTCAGCACCTGTGTCTCACCTTAATACCTTTCCTGTGATAATGCCCCTCTAGAAGTAGTGTTATCATTCTTCTATCTCCTATTAGGTGAGATCACATTGTACAATGTATTTCTAATATGAACTGTTTCACATGAAACTCTTACTCTACATACTATTCTCACCAAACTGTGATAACTGTGATTAAATTCAGTGTAAACAAATGCCATATGTTGCCACCCCTCAAAATTCCTGCCCCCCTCTCGCCACCCCATAAATATTTTTCTAGATCCGCCCCTGCCTGCTTTGTGTGTCAGCTGTTATGGTTGCTAGGCGAAAGGAGAGTAAGAGTGGTGAATGCCGGAGAAGGCTGGACCTGTTTGACTCCGTAGCCAAAACTTTTCAGGCCTCCTTATTTTAATGGACCTCTGAAATCGAACATAGCATAGCCAAACATAGCCGTGGAATGAATCAAACCCCAAAATGGATTCTGAGGAACATATACAGCACTTGTTTTCTTTATCTATACATTCCATTTTAATAGCTAGTAAAATATCGCAATATATGTAGTGATACGGCAATATTGTTATATCGTATCATGATCCAAGTATCGTGACACGTATCGTATCACAACACATATGCCAATACTCACCCCTAATTTAAATAAAATGTCTTCATGGTTAAACATCTTAGAAGCTGCTTTAATCAGCAGCAGTGAACAGGCATAAAGAGAAAGGTGTGTTTTCTGCTTCCTCCCACACTCAGGGGAACCTTGTCAGCTCTCTCCTCCTGTGCTGAGCACTCTTCAACACACCAAAGAGAACGTTGGTGTGCACCAGTGCGCTCCTGCACCTTGTCCATTCCTAGTTTTAGTTTAATAGTTGAAACATTTTGTCCCAATCCGCGAGGAGATCCCTCAGGAGACATCATGAACCTCATCGGGAGCATCATGCCCAGGCAATGTAGAGAGGTCATACGGGCACATGGAGGCCACACACAATACTGAGCCTCATTCTGACCTGCTTTAAAGAAATTACAACAAAGCTGGATCAGCGTGTAGTGTTTTTTCAATTTAATTCTGTGTGTGTAATTAATTTGATTTCCGTGCATGGTTTTTGAGTGATTTTGTTGTCAGCACATTCAATTTTGTACAAAACAAAATATTCCTTTAGACTATTTAATACACTCAGATCGATGGTGTGAACCTCAATCTGACATTTTAGTGTTCCTTTTATTTTTCTAACACTATATATATATATATATATATACATATATATATATACGCTCACACACACATACATACAATCATCAATTTTACATCAACTATTTTTTTCTTTTATAATGCTGTTGTGATTTTATGTTCAATTGTTCAATATGTTCAATGTTCAAGAAATTGGAATGTTTTTAGACCAATTCAAAATGGAAATCCAACTGGTGAATAAAAATGATTTGGCCAAATAATGTTTTATTAAATGATTTGCTTAATGAAGAACCAATAACCTTTAGTCAATGATCCTTAACCCTCTTTGAAATAGCTAGCAGGGAATAGACATCAGGATTCCACTAAGTGACTCTTGGTCATCCTTGGTAATGGAAATGTAATGGGCATCTGAGGAACACATGAACAGCAATGTTATATCAGCGTTTAAACCCTTAGTGAAATAATGCTTGTCCAAGTCTTCAAGAACAGCTCACAACATATTCATGTTGCATAGTGTAGCATGCAGTCCATCCTTTTAGCATCGTCTTTACTCATCAGTAAACACATAAAATTATCAGCATCATCAAAAGACATATTGTTTGTTCTGTCAGACCTGCAAACCTTTTTGTCCATTTCCATTTGGAAGGCTTGAGTTTCATCCAGCTGCAGCTCCGCAATCAGGTCAACATCCAGGTTATCTTTGTCTCAGTGACTCACAGACGAAGACAGGCTTCTCATCCAGTCTGGCTCTAGAAGTTCTGAAACTCAAGAGAAATGTGTTGCAAAAGGTCTGTTTTGCAGCCGTTTGGTTCTGAATGGTCATTCTGATGACTTATCTTTGAGGATTCTGGAGATCTAGGTCTCCCTGGGCCTTGGATCTCCATCTTGTCGGAGATCCAGCAGATGTGGACCCCAGCTTTATAGGCAAGAGAGAGGAGGCAAAGAAAAAGAATCCTGTGTGCTCTACGGAGTTCCTGTGACTGATTTGGAGTTGGCTGAAAAGGGGGGGGGGGGGGGGGGTTTGGGGGGGGGGGGGGGGGGGGGGGGGGGGGGGGGGGGGTTAGAGATCTTAGAGCTGTTCATTCAACAAAGCTGCATTTCCTTTTCTGGTCATCATGTCAAGATGAAACATGGACACTTGTTCCCAATGTCCAAAAACCATGATGGCATATGGCATATGGCACAACATTGCTGAAATTTCTTTGATGCTATAAAACCTGAGGTGTAACCAGAACATTTTAATAAGTGTGGCCAGGCAATGACCAATGTACACTGAGGGGTGGTCAAAAGCGGATAGGTTTCAGAACATCAGGGTCCACACTGTTCCAAAAGGAACAACATCCATATTTTCTACGTAACGACAAACTATACTTTCCTACAGCCTTTGCTAACAAATAGATGCATATATTTAAACATCCATGCTGTCTTAATTAAAGGTGTAGTAGACAAAATTCTTTCAGTTTTGAGTTCTGGGGCAGACATCTTATTCATTGTCATTACTTTGCTACTTTTATTAATGATCATTCTGCATAAAATTTATATTTAAATGTTCTAATATCTGCATCAAATTGCCTATTATTAAAGTAATTATTTATCTCTGATTTCAGTGAAGATTCCTGGATGACTTGCAGAGACATCATTTTCTCTTTACCCAATATAAGACAAAATCTAGTTCTGAAAAGGGCAGGAATTCTGTATTTATCAATGTTAGTATATTGATGTGCATAATTAACCACTATGTTTTTTTTTTTGTCAGGTAATTGTTTACATATATAACATTAAAATTTCAAATAAGTTGCAACATTCCACTTAAGAGTATTACTGCTGCCACCGTCTGTATTAGAGGTAATAAATGGTAGGGCTGGCCAAAGATTTGGGTAAGGGTGTCAATGGCAACCCCTGGCCCCCCATCTAGCTCCGCCCCTTTCTAAAACACTTAACAAAAATGTACAATTAGAAGTACATGTTAGAGGCAAACCCTTTTCCCGGCACTTTCATATAGCTATAGTTATGGGATATTTCATAACTGTACAATACCGAGCTAATATCAACAATAGAGTATTTACTAATTATATTCCTTTCCACTGTCACAAAACTGAAATGCTTACTTTATTGACTTGTGCCCTTATAGTTAAAGAGTATTGTCTCAAAATTTTAAGATATTAAAGTAATTTAAGTTTGAATATCAACTATAATATACTGCATTTTTAATTATCATAATCTATTCATTTTTATTGCAATAGCAAAACTGAGTTCCGAACTGTTTGAATTATCGGGCATACATAGAGTCCATTTGGAATTGTCCAAACATTTCACTGTTAATTCAAACCGATATGATTAATTAAATCTTTATGGATTAACTAATTCAGGGAGAGAGAAAATGGTTGAAAATCATTAAATCCTCCCTGCAGAGCAGGAGCATAGTTGAATGTAGTATCCATTGAAGCCACAGGGGGCGCTGATAAAAAGTTATTTTGGATTTTAAACAAATCGTTTATTGATTTTGATATATTTTCTGCATTTCTTGAATGCTGTAAGAATTTCTACTTTTTAATACTGATTTTAATAGTTTCGAAATATTTTTTAATTCGGTGTTTTAATGTCCAACTACTTCTTCCGGTGCAAACGTCAAAGTTACCCTAGGTCAATGTGTCCTTCCACACGTGTTGCGTGTTTCTCGTAGTAGCAGCAGGAGGGAGGGTCTGTCAGAGTTTTCCTGGGGTTTAAACGTACTTTTCGTGTTTCTGAACATCTTAATATCCCATCCCAGTCATGCTGAAGTCGGTAGTCCGCGCTGTGGGAGCCGCAGTTCGCCTCTCTCCAGCCGTTCCGTCAGCAGCGCGAGCCTTCCCGCTGGGCAGCCCGGCGTTACGCTCTTCAGGGTCGGCTACGATCCGGCCGTTCACCCGATCTCTGTGGGTGTTAAACAACAACGGAGCCTCGTCAGGATACAGGCCCAAGCTGTTCAGCTCCAGAGTGCTGAGTCCACCGGTGTCCTGCGGGTGTGGAGGGCTACACACAGAAGGTAGAGGAGCTAGCCAACCTATAGCTAAATAGTTCTGTTTGGGAGATTTTAATACTAAAGTCTAACTGAACACCATCTGTCTAGCCAAGTAAATCGGAAACGAGGCTGATTTATTTTCATTATTATTTTTTTTTTTATCTAATCGAAAAGACGCTAAATAATATGGATGAACACGAATGAACATTTTGAGGATCAGGTATGACTAGATGGATGTCATTGAAAATAAGTCACATCTGTAGCATCCAGGATAGAGGCACTGATCAGACATTTCCTGACCGATTTTCTTTTCGACCTGCTCCGCCGATTTAATTTTTCCTTCTGTGTAAGTGCACAGTAGTGCGAATGTATAAGTTTAACAGAAATTCGGGAATAATTGGGTAACTGGCATTAAGACATCTAAACAAATATCTAAATGTTTCTTTTAGGTGCACGCCTTTGGATGCATTTATTTACTGAAGTCAGTTGTAGATGAGTAAAATACATTTTTTTTATTTTTTATTTTTTTAACTGACCAGCTAACAAAGGCTGATCTTATTTTCTTACCTGCTAATTGATGCATCTATATGAAGGGTGTCAAAGTGGTTCCAGAAAGGGCAGTGTGGCTGCAGGTTTTCTTTCCAGTCAAGCAATAACAAACCAGACATTCATCTCATCAAGTCATCATGTTTAGATTGGACTCATTTAATGAAAAGACTGGAGTTTGCTATTGCTTGACTGAAAAGATAACCTGCAGCCACACGGTCCTTCCTGGAACCACTTTGACATCCCTGATCTGTATCATCATAGTGATGGGATATCTACATTTAGATGCTCATTGCCAGGCAAGCTGATAATTCACTGTTATGACATCAGAAAATTTTTATTTTTCAGGTTTTAATGCCTACTCTTAAATCAATAATATAATAATCATCATTTTGATATATATTTTTTGGTATCTTAACATAATTAATATGAAAAATGATGTTCCCTAGTTGGGCAGCACCTATAAATTTAACGTTTCTCACAAACAGGTGACAAAGCATTTGGTGAGTTCCTATCAGATGAAATCAAAGAAGAGAAGAAGATCCAGAAGAACAAAACTCTTCCTAAGATGTCCGGAGGATGGGAGCTGGAGATGAATGGCACTGAGGCTAAACTCACAAAACAAGTTTCTGGAGAGAAGTGAGTATTAAACACATTTTGCTTTTCTAAACCCTTCCAGTCACATCAGTCCATCACTGACATATTTCTACTGTGGTTGGTTGGATCTTCGCTTTGTTACATTCTGAGAGGAAAGTATAGAGCAAAATTAACAGTTTGAAAGAATGTAATAAATTATCCAGCTGAACGCATTTTACTTTATATCAGGGTTTGTGCTTTATAATGCCTCTGCGGTCCTGGTTAGTTGATCTGTAATTGGCACCAAGTTACATATTATGGTTACACATTGGTTGTTGATCTCCTTTAGCATGCTTAAAGCTCTTTATGAAACTCAGGATTTTCCTCAAGTCATTGAAATCCTTGGAAGTTATTCCACCTGGTCACCAATCTGAGTAAAAAAAATCTGGATTAAACCAGGTGTCTGATTCAGAGATTGAAACGGCAAACCTCAGTGTAGCACTGGAACTGAAGTGTTTGTGTTTTTTTTTGGCGGCACTAGTGGCTCGTTTTTGCGACAGTAGGCTGACAGGAGAGGGGGTCTAGGAGATGGGGAGGGACATGAGGCAAAGGACCACAGGCCGGATTCGAACCCAGGATGGCCGTGTCGAAGTCTAACCCCGATATCCCACATCTGCCGTCTCCGCTCTTCTCCTGCTGTGCTCCAGACCGCCTGAGTAAAGCAAAGCCTACAGCCTCCGCTGTTCCTCCTTAATTTAATGACATATTCAAAAAAAATCGGCATCCAGCATATGTGCAGCTTCTACCCTAATATTTTCTTTTTTTTGTGGATTTTTGTAACAAGGATAACTAGGATCATACATGTTTTTTATAAACTATGTTTGTTCTCTACATCCAAACTCAGCATCTCTTCATCCATTCATCCATTAATGGTTTCGATTAAACTTTAAAGCCTCTCGATATAAATAAATAATCTGATGGAGAAATTGTACCAGTACCTATAGTTTGCATTCAATCATTTAATTAAACGCTCTTAGTTTTTGGGAATATATAAGAAATATGCTCTAATGTTTAGTTACCGATCCATTGTTACTATATTTTTATTTGAGAAACCGGATCTTCTCTTGACCTGGCCAGACCAGAGCAGAGCCAAAAAATAGCTTGGCTCTGTATTTTGATGGTGAATGACGAAGAAGACGTACGTCGACTGTGATGTGCGGAGGACTAGCGGTGGGTGTGGAACATTTCTGATTGATTAACATGACAGACAAGTACTCTGCACGACGTACGTGAGCGGAGCGCTGTCGGAGTATGTGGAATTGGGGGGGGGGGGGGAACGTCGATGCGTCGGTGTATGCGTCGAGCTCATTGAGCAAAACGCCGTTGTTTCAAGAAAGTCATGTGACCGATACAGGAGTCGTTTCTAACTGACTGACTCACTAAACTGTGTTTAAAAATCATATCTGCCAACATAATGCATCTTATAAAAAAATGTCTCATCTTTTGCAGTTTATCAAGAAATTTGTAGGAGACTAAAAGGAATTGGAATGTTTCCGCCGTTGTGTTTTCATTTGAATTTTCACATTGTGTCATACTATTCCTCTCAGTCCATTTATCTGAATTAAAGTTAATTTCAAATTGACTCTTATTTAATATACTGTTTTGACTGTACCTATTTTAAAAATATGATTTAATACCCTAGTCCACAAGCATCCCCATTCACAATTTCTCCAAAATTTTCACATTATATGTTTACACTATTTATTGCCTGCATCTAAAAATATCAGATATGTTCAATTTGAATAGACAAGATTACAGGTGCTGGTCATAAAATTAGAATATCATGAAAAAGTAGATTGATTTCAGTAATTCCATTTAAAAAGTGAAACTTGTATATTATATTCATACATTACATACAAACTCATATATTTCAGATGTTTATTTTGTTTAATTTTGATGATTACAAATGACAACAAATGAAAATCTCAAATTCATCATATCAGAAAATTAGAATATTGTGAAAAGGTTCAAAATTGATGGCCCCTGGTGCCACACTCTAATCAGCTAATTAACTCAAACCACCTGCAAAAGCCTTTAAATGGTCTTTCAGTCTAGTTCTATAGGCTACACAATCATGGGGAAGACTGCTGACTTGACAGTTGTCCAAAAGACGACCATCGACACCTTGCACAAGGAGGGCAAGACACAAAAGGTCATCGCTAAAGAGGCTGGCTGTTCACAGAGCTCAGTGTCCAAGCACATTAATAGAGAGGCGAAGGGAAGGAAAAGATGTGGTCGAAAAAAGTGTACAAGCAAGAGAGATAACCGCACCCTGGAGAGGATTGTGAAACAAAACCCATTCAAAAATGTGGGGGAGATTCACAAAGAGTGGACTGCAGCTGGAGTGAGTGCTTCAAGAACCACCACACACAGACGTATGAAAGACATGGGTTTCTGCTGTCGCATTCCTTGTGTCAAACCACTCTTGAACCACAGACAGCGTCAGAAGCGTCTTGCCTGGGCTAAAGAGAAACAGGACTGGACTGCTGGTGAGTGGTCCAAAGTCATGTTCTCTGATGAAAGTAAATTTTGCATTTCCTTTGGAAATCAAGGTTCCAGAGTCTGGAGGAAAAGAAGAGAGGCACTTCATCCACGTTGCTTGAAGTCCAGTGTAAAGTTTCCACAGTCAGGGATGGTTTGGGGTGCCATGTCATCTGCTGGTGTTGGTCCATTGTGTTTTCTGAGGTCCAGGGTCAATGCAGCCACATACCAGGAAGTTTTAGAGCACTTCATGCTTCCTGCAGCTGACCAACTTTTTGGAGATGCAGATTTCATTTTCCAACAGGACTTGGCACCTGCACACAGTGCCAAAGCTACCAGTACCTGGTTGAAGGACCATGGTATCCCTGTTCTTAATTGGCCAGCAAACTCTCCTGACCTTAACCCCATAGAAAATCTATGGGGTATTGTGAAGAAGAAGATGCAATACACCAGACCCAACAATTCAGAAGAGCTAAAAGCCACTATTAGAGCAACCTGGGCTATCATAACACCTGAGCAGTGCCACAGACTGATCGACTCCATGCCACGCCGCATTGCTGCAGTAATACAGGCCAAAGGAGGCCCAACTAAATACTGAGTGCTGTACATGCTCATACTTTTCATGTTCATACTTTTCAGTTGGCCAACATTTCTATAAATCCTTTGTTTTTATTGGTCTTCAGTAATATTCTAATTTTCTGATATGATGAATTTGAGATTTTCATTTGTTGTGATTTGTAATCTTCAAAATTAAACAAAATAAACATCTGAAATATATGAGTTTGTATGTAATGTATGAATATAATATACAAGTTTCACTTTTTAAATGGAATTACTGAAATCAATCTACTTTTTCATGATATTCTAATTTTATGACCAGCACCTGTATAGTCTGTCTAATAAGCTGTCTGTAGTGTCTTTAAAGGTCCAGCAGGTGTCAGTATTCTGTGAGACGGTATTCTTACAGTTTGGCAATGTGTGGAAACGCTCCAAGATGCATCATTAACCCATCACTACTCTTTTTATTTTTTCCCCCCTCCACCAGAATCACGGTCACATTTAACGTCAACAACAGCATTCCTCCCAACTTTGAGGAAGAGGTGGAGCAGGGACAGCAGCAAAAATCTCCTGAGGATGAGGTACACCAAACAACTTCAGTCATTATTGATCCAGGGGTGGAATGAGGTATTAGATTTGTTCAGTTTCAATGTCATAATGCATTTAATGAGTTTTATTTTTATTTTACAGCCAGAAATTGTTTCAACGCCCAACTTTGTCATTGAAGTAACAAAACAAGGAGCCAAACATTCCCTTGTATTCGACTGCCATTTTCCTGAAGATGAGGTAAAAAAAAAATAAATTAAAATTTGAAACTGCAAGCATGTGATTCCCTTCCCAAACAGGAGCTATGCAGAGATTTTTTTTTAATATAGAGCCTTAAAAAAGTCTTTAATATAATCGTCTGGGTCGCACAGTAAAACGATCAGTCTTCAATTTATTTTAAATGCATTTAAAATTTTACCTTTTGGTGCTTCTTTTATTCTGTTTTTCCGTCCATAGTTGGGTAATTTTAATTACCCTTTAGGGACCCATGCTAAGCAGCTAAAGAAATCAGCCTAATGACGACTGTTGAACTGAAATAAAAAAAACTGGAGTAAATTTCTGGCTGTTTCTAAATTCACAAGAACGCGAGTACAGACTTGTGTCCTCACCAAGTATGTTCTTGAGAAGAAAGTTTGAACACAGGAAGAACGGGAATACACAACATAAATCAGGGTCAATTGGAACAGAAGCATACTCATGACGTCACCACATGCTCGGCTCGTCTGGAGCTTCATTTCCACTCCTGTTATTAATATTCTCTAGATAAAAATAATTTTTTTTCATTTAGTGGGGGAATAATAACGAACACAGTCAGATAAACACAAATCTAATGAACATTTTGCCAAATAAAACAAAACAAAAAAAATACCATCAGAGCTAGTGTTACTTCACACACGGCTATGCCGAGAGAGTTCTGCTGCAGACGGTCTAACGTTAGCCCTGGTTAGGCGCTGAGGACTGCTGGTTGCCACGGTCCTCTAAATTGGAACATTTTTTATGGTTAAGCACTAAATCAGTAAACTGGCCATATAGTGACCCATAAAAGTATAATGTTCTCGTCTCAAATGATCTTAAAACACACTTTTAGAGCAACGGCCACAGAAAAGAGAACTTCTGAGCTCTGTGAGCACTCCATTGAAAGCTGCTGCTGCTGCCATGCTGCAGCTGTCAATCTCAATAATGGACATGTCTGCTCTGATGCATGCTGGGTAAACAGGGAGGGGCGGGAACAACATCCAGGGCTTTTTCTGTTCTCGATCCTCTTGTTCTTGTCAATTGGAACAGTACTAGGTCTGAGGCTGATGTTTTTCGAGTACATGAAAATGCACAATTAAACATATTGAGAAATGGCCCCTGTTCTATTAATGTTGCAAGCAGAGAACCCGTTTTTTTAAATGGTCATTTGAAATAATGCAACCCAGAAATTAAACAGAAAAAATTAATGAAGGTTTAGAGAGTAACTATTTTCTCAGATTTTATTTCAAATAATGTTTTTTCTTTTTTAAATGTTATTTAAAAATAATTCTATTTTTTTATTTGTTTTTCGAATTTGTGTTTTTCATGTAGAGTTTTTACAGATTGCTTTCTTTTGAAATAGCGCTTTATAGATCTTTCTCATTACGAGCCTAATGCAGAACGCACACTGACAAATATAAAAGTTGTCGCTAACGTCATGCGGACCAATAGAAATGCTTCTTTGCTCAGCCTCAGAACTGAGAGGAATGTGATCTGGAAAATGAAATCTGAAATAAAGAGATTTAAAAAAAGGAATAGAAAATATGATTTCTGTTTGAAAACATTTAAAACAAAAGAATTGGGGGGGGGGGGAATTCATTGAGAACATTGTTATGCTGCAAACCTTTTTTTGAGGGTTTAGAGTTTGATGTTCTGGATTTTTTATTTATTTATTTCCTTTTTCAAAACAGCAATAATAATAATAGTGCAAAAAACACAATTTACCTTCTTTACTATCAGCCACTAAATATTTTAGTGGGAATTTTAAAGCAGAAGTGTAAAGGGCATAGAGCTTGGAATCCTGAGGTTCTGAGTTTGAGCCCCACTCCCACAGACTGACACTCTGGGTCCCTGAGCAAAGACCCTTAACCCCACACTGTTCCCCGGGCGCCCCACAATGGCAGCCCACTGCTCCCCAAGGGGATGGGTTAAATATAGAGGTTAACTTTCTCCAGTGCGAGATCAATTAGTTCAATTATTAGCATGACTTGTTCACCAATAAAGCTTGTTAGGATGCCAACTGCATATAATGTTCAAACTGTGTGTTTGGCGTATTTTACGTACCGTATATTATACAATTCATCAAAGTCTTGGATTTAAGATGTTAAACATCCCCTGTTAATATGTTGGTTGTTCATTTATGTGATGTAGATGAGCCACGGGGAAGGCGAGGAGGAGAGTGATATCTTTGCTATCCGAGAGGTCAGCTTCCAGCCCGAAGGAGACTCTGACTGGAAAGAGACCAGTTACACGCTCAACACAGACTCCCTGGACTGGGTACGAGCAGAAACAGTAAATGCAGACATACTTGGCAGCACTTCTGGGAGCAAATGAGGCAGAAGAATGCTCGATCACAGGCTCTGTTTCCTTTCAGGCACTGTATGACCACATGATGGACTTCTTGGCCGACCGTGGCGTCGACAACACCTTTGCTGATGAGCTTATGGAGCTGAGCACAGCCATGGAACATCAAGAGTACATTAAGTTTCTAGAAGAGCTGCAAAGCTTTGTCAATTGCAAGTAGTGTTAAATGAAATTGTAATTTTTGTGTGCAATCTGAGAACGATGGGTTGTGATGCAGGAAACCTAAAGCCCCCAGTAATGCATAAACATTTATAACCAAAAGAGGCAAACTGTGTTTGAGAATGTCACCAGCAGATCCTACATTGTGGTTTCCTCAAGTTTTCTCTAACATAAAGAGTTTAAATATGTCTGGGTGCCAGCCCAACCGTTATCATAAACCATCTTTGCATTTAATTAAGCAGCTGTTGATCTGCATTTTCCTTCCAACTTCTGACACTTTGTCAGCTTTCATGCTCTCTTGCTGAGTGGTGGTAGTTTGTCAGATGCAAAAGATGTTCTAGAGTGTAAAGCTGGAAATATTGTTCAATAAACAATTTGATATCCGAATGCTAATTTGTACATCTGTCTACACATTGTAAATACAGCCTTTTAGCCATATGTTTCAAACCCTCAACTCACTTGTCTTAATTTCAAGAGCATTTAATATTTTAGAGGTTGATTGTTTCCATTTATTGTGTCAGAACATTCAAGTTAGATTAATTGGTTGGTAATTGGCTAATTATTAATTACAATGTTTACCTCTAGATGTCGCTGTATCCCAAATAAAAACAAAACCAGTTCTGTCCTGGGGCCTGTTTCAGAAAGGTTAAGTGAAAACTCTGAGTTTGTTAACGCTGAAATGAGGGAAACTCTGGGTTTTCTGTTTCAGAAAGGGAGGTAAGTTAAACCTGAGAAAGCAGAGTAAGTCAAGCCCGTTTCTGAAAGAGAGGTAACTTATACTCAGAGTCAGTTACCATGGGAATTTACTCTGTGAACCTAACCTGGTCGGGAGCAGGTTTTCTTCAGAAAATCCAGAGTTTATTTTGGTCTCCTCCCCTTTTTTAAAGAGGAAGTGGTGTTTAAACACCTCATTGATTCTTTGGGGACATACAGTATTCATTGCACACATTTCAGTCACGTAGAGCGCATCAAAGGGAATGAAATGGCATGCCCTTTTATGGATGATCCTGTTTGTAAAGCCAGGTAGCTACTCTACTCCCATGATGTGCTCAAGGCTTACCTGCTTGAAGTATGTTTTTATATTTCATTTTCAGCTGCTGCCATGTTATTTTGATGCCTGCAGGATTGCACCTATCCATGAAAACTAAATTAGGTTTAATAAAATACTGTTCTTCCAGTTTCACCTCTGATATTATAACAGTTGGGTAAGTTACTCTAAAATAGTTCTTAATTACTAACTACAAATTTTATCTTCAAGTCTAATTAGATTAATGTAATAATTACTGTCTCTAGAAAGTATTGGTCTAATTACTAATTTGTTTTACTTACTTATTAATTACTTTCTAAATCCCAAATCAACCTAAACAACTTGAACAATACAAGGAGAGACAAGAAACTGCACTTCTAATGCTTTCAAATAAACAATATTCAATTGCATGAATTAATCTTAAATTGACCAAATTGTGTAACTAGAGGGAGAAAGTTCAAATCAAAATATACCTTTTAAAATTTGATATTAAATCCACTATTGTTTTATAGTCTTTAATTTAATTACAGTATTTATATGACTTAAGTAACTTAATTCATTACACCCAACACTGTATAAAAGTAATTAAAATGTAAACTTACGCATTGACTCTAGCAGCTATTTTCACCCAAGCTAACTCTCTCTCCTTCGCCGCTGCAGCCGTGTTGCTTTTTTTTTTTAAATACATGTTCAAATTCTGCATATGCTTGCATAAGCACATCCAGTTCTGCTGGTGAGAAATATGCACACCTTTTTTTGTCTGACGCTGTTGCCATGGTGACTCGTAATATCTGTGCTCCATTGATAATGGCTTTTTATAGTTGTGGTGCACGCGCTTAACTCAGAGTCAGTCAATTTAGAGTTGATTGAACTAACTCATTTCAGCTGTTCTGAAACCCAAAACTCAGAGTTTCCAATCTCAGGATAAGTCAACTCAGAGTTCAAGTTTTAACTCAGAGTTGGTTGAACTTCCTTATTGAAACAGGCCCCTGAAGCTCAATTAAAAATAACTGACGGAGTAAATGTAAGAAGAAAGATTCTTAGAAACATTTAAGCTATAGTTATAGATGAGTTTCATTCTGCAGCTGCTGTTTTGATTTTTTTATCCAACCCCTAATTTCTGTATGAGACAAACTGTTGAAAGTTTTTTTGGGGTGTGTGATAAACCATTCTGTTTAAAGAACTAAACATCAGTTCCTCTTTAATATCTACAAAAAGGGTTTTGTGATTTTATGTTCTTTTCAATTCTAGCCAGCTGGGAATTTATATTTCTTATCCTTTAAGATGTTTATTGCCCTCCCCGGTAGGGGGGGGTAAATATGTTATTTAATCAGATATTGTTTCGGCTGTTATATACTGTTTATGACACTCAGCTCTACTAGCTGTGTGTTAGAACAATAGATTAGAGTGATTTGAACTCTAATCATGGTCAAGCTCTTAATTCTGCACAGACATTGGATAAATTCACCACAACTTCTGTTCAAAATGATTGAATGATTTGAATGATTTTTGTTAAACTCTTATGAGTTTAACAAACTCCTTATTTTCAAGGACTTCGAAGGATCCAGTCTAGGTAGACCGCGTCCTTGGAGGACACGTCCTAGGTTTTCGAACAGAGCCAAGGTGTTACACTAACGACGTTAGTGTTTTTGATCTCTTCAAACGCGAATATCCAACTTGAAACTAACTTCAATGCGGTCGCACAATACACGCTGCACACCTGAATAAAAGTTTTTGGAATCAAGTTGTAGAGCACTGTAACTAATGTTACTTTTTGCACTTTCCTACTTGCCCTCCTATTTGCATGGTCTATGCATATTTCAGTGATAATTTATCTAGCATGGATTTTTATTCATGGCATGGAAAATTCAACTCGCAATAAAAAAATATGTATGTATATATATGTAAATCTATGTATATATATATATATATATATATATATATATGTGTGTACATATATGTATGTAAGTATATATATATGTATGTATATATATGTATGTATGTATGTATATATATATGTATGTATATATATATATATGTATGTATTTGTATATATATATATACATGTATATATACATATACACTATATTGCCAAAAGTATTTGCTCACCTGCCTTGACTCACATATGAGCTTAAGTGACATCCCGTTCCTAATCCATAGGGTTCAATATGACGTCGGTCCACCCTTTGCAGCTAGAACAGCTTCAACTCTTCTGGGAAGGCTGTCCACAAGGTTTAGGAGTGTGTTTATGGGAATTTTTGACCATTCTTCCAGAAGCGCATTTGTGAGGTCGCACACTGATGTTGGACGAGAAGGCCTGGCTCTCAGTCTCCGCTCTAATTCATCCCAAAGGTGTTCTATCGGGTTGAGGTCAGGACTCTGTGCAGGCCAGTCAAGTTCATCCACACCAGACTCTGTCATCCATGTCTTTATGGACCTTGCTTTGTGCACTGGTGCACAGTCATGTTGGAAGAGGAAGGGGCCAGCTCCAAACTGTTCCCACAAAGTTGGGAGCATGGAATTGTCCAAAATGTCTTGGTATGCTGAAGCATTCAGAGTTCCTTTCACTGGAACTAAGGGGCCAAGCCCAGCTCCTGAAAAACAACCCCACACCATAATCCCCCCTCCACCAAACTTTACACTTGGCACAATGCAGTCAGACAAGTACCGTTCTCCTGGCAACCGCCAAACCCAGACCCGTCCATCAGATTGCCAGATGGAGAAGCGCGATTCGTCACTCCAGAGAACGCGTCTCCACTGCTCTAGAGTCCAGTGGCGGCGTGCTTTACACCACCGCATCCCGACGCTTTGCATTGCACTTGGTGATGTATGGCTTGGATGCAGCTGCTCGACCATGGAAACCCATTCCATGAAGCTCTCTGCGCACTGTTCTTGAGCTAATCTGAAGGCCACATGAAGTTTGGAGGTCTGTAGTGATTGACTCTGCAGAAAGTTGGCGACCTCTTCGCACTATGCGCGTCAGCATCCGCTGACCCCGCTCCGTCAGTTTACGTGGCCTACCACTTCGTGGCTGAGTTGCTGTCGTTCCCAAACACTTCCATTTTCTTATAATACAGCTGACAGTTGACTGTGGAATATTTAGGAGCGAGGAAATTTCACGACTGGATTTGTTGCACAGGTGGCATCCTATCACAGTTCCACGCTGGAATTCACTGAGCTCCTGAGAGCGACCCATTCTTTCACAAATGTTTGTAAAAACAGTCTGCATGCCTAGGTGCTTGAATTTATACACCTGTGGCCATGGAAGTGATTGGAACACCTGATTCCAATAATTTGGATGGGTGAGCAAATACTTTTGGCAATATAGTGTATATATATATATATATATATATGTATGTATGTATATATATATATATATATATTTATATGTATGTATATGTATATATATATATGTATATGTATATATATGTATATATATATATATATATATGTGTGTACATATATGTATGTAAGTATATATATATGTATGTATATATATGTATGTATGTATGTATGTATGTATGTATGTATGTATGTATGTATGTATGTATGTATGTATGTATGTATGTATGTATGTATGTATGTATGTATGTATATATATATGTATGTATATATATATATATGTATGTATTTGTATATATATATATATATACATATATATATATATATATATATATATATATATGTATGTATGTATGTATGTATGTATATATATATATATATATTTATATGTATGTATATGTATATATATATATATGTATATGTATATATATGTATATATGTATATATATATATATATATGTATATATATGTATATATATATATGTATATATATATAAGTTTGTATACATATATATATATATATATATATATATATACATACATATAATTAAAAGTTAGTCAAGTATTGAATTTTTAAAATATTCAAGTGAGGATTCAATAAGTATTAGTATTAAAAAATACAAGCAAATTGTTGTAATATCAGTATTTTTCTGTGTAATTTTCAGTCTTTTTAAAGAACTTTGTAACTTTCAGAAACAACCTGATCTATTGATGTGTAGAACCACCTGCTACCAATTCTACACCACTTGTAAAGAACTTCAGCATAAAAACAGCACAAAAATAAAGAGCTATCTTGATTATTATTTATTATTCAAAAACAAACCAAAAAGAAAACAGGAGGGCCTTGATTCTCCTCAAACTGTAAAAGGTTTAATGTTGAATCTATTACCACAAAGAAACTACAACTCTGATTTGAGAATGTATCTGAACAACCTGGCCACATGGCAACAACTAATGCCTTAATAAAATGAATAAACTATCAATAATACAGTATCTGCCCCGAGTTTCTCACTTTTGG